ATAGATTGGCCTATAGTCAGTTGTTCTGCTTTCTTGAGTAACAGGCAGGTGGCAGCTACAGCTCTCAAGCATGGGGCCCATCCTTTCGCCATGGTGACTAGCTTATCCTATTCAAATGGGCCCTTTTCTGGACCCCGTAGTTTATCCTAGAGAGGCTTAGCAGTTAATCCAAAGTTAGGGATCCAAATGTGGCAAAACCCAGCCATTCCCTAGAGTCCCGGTAGCTGCCTATGAGTTTTCAGTGGAGCAAGTTGGCATATTACCATTTTTCTCTCTTGGGGAAGGCTGCATTGTCCCCTTGAAATGATAAACCCCAAACACTTTACAGTCTCTTTAGATATTAGTGCCTCCCCTTTAGACACCTTATATTACTCACTAGCTAAGAAGTTTAACGTATTTAACTCAATTGTGACAGTCTACCTGGGGACAGAATCAGGTACCACAAGTTAAGGGTTCAGTCCCACAGGATTACACTTCACCTCCCATTCTAGATGCCAATTGCCAGTTCAGGTTGTCACCTGTGCTTCTGACCAACCAGCCACAGACTAGAGGTTCCCACAACCCCCTCTGTGGGTTTGATTAATTTGATAGAGTGGCTCACAGATCTCAGGAAACCATTGTGCTTAACAGCCAGGTGGAAGAGATGTGTAGAGCAAAATATGTCAGGAAGGGAGGAGGAGCTGCCAGACCCTCTCTGGACATGCCACTCTCCCCAAACCTCCACGCGTTCACCAATGCAGAAGCTGTCTGAACACCATCCTTTTGGGTTTTAATTCTATAGGCATAGTTGATTAGATCATTGGCAGTTGACAATTGATCTCAATCTTCAGCCCCTTTCCCCACCCAGAGGTGGGGGAGGGAGATGGGGCTGAAACTTACAACCCCAAATCACACACTTGGTTTCCCTGGCCACCAGCCCCCACCCTCAGGGGCTTTCGAAAAGTCACGTTATTAACATAAGTTCTGGTGTGGTTGAAAGAGCCTTGTTAGGAATAACACAAGACAAACCATTTCAACTTTATTGCTCTGGAGTTATTTCAGGAGCTGAGGAGTAAAGTAATTAATATAACAAAAGATGCCCTTATGGCTCTCATATGGGAAATTACAAGAGTTTTCGGAGCTCTGTGCCAGAAACAAAATGAAGATATTTACTATTATAAATCCAGTACTGTACAGCATTGACAGCACTAAAGTCTTGAACAAATCTAGATTCCCCATTTCCCTGTTCCCAGCTTATTGAGGCTCCTAGCTTAGACAGCATGTCCCTCCCTAGAAGGGGAACAGGGCAGTCTGGAACATACAGAAAAGAATGCTTCAGCATTTTTTATCCTATTTCACAGGTCAAGGATCCAGAAACATTTTGGTCTCTCCCTTTCCTGATACCTCTTTTAGGTCACACTTTCCTTTAGAAAGGTTTCCCTTTGGGAATTCAACACTGAGAATATGGCTCCATTATTGAGCAAAAGATTCAACCTTCTCTCCTCCTACTGACAAGGTCACCTGGGGCTCTTGGAGCCAACTGGGGAGCCCCTCAGCCCCATCACATCTCATCTATAGTCAAGGGAAGCTGCCATGGCTTGGTCTTGTTTGATCCCTTTCCTCTCTGAGGATGGTTTGGACAATCCTGCTGCTAATGTCCTTCCGGTTTGCACACACATGTTGATTACCCCCCAAATTTGTTGGTAGCTTTCCGGTCCCTCGGTGGGGGCCGAGGTTACTCACCCATGGCATTCCTTCTCTTCCTCAGGTTAACTTGAGTAGACTCAAGGGCCACAGCTATCAGGGTGGCTTGCCTTTTCATTTTCTTGTCTTCCTTTTGATATCGAACCTGAAGTAGGTTCACTCACCCATTATGCATCAAGCCAATCTCTGACACTGGTGTAGTGGAAGGAAGTAGGACTTTATTATTGCAACGTGTTAAGCAAGAAGAATGGGTAGCTAGTGCTGAAATCCCAAACTCCCCGAAAAGCTACAAGCAAGGGTTTTTATTTGGGGTTTTAGGTAGGGGAGGGGGAACATAGAGCCTTGCTGGCTGGTGTTTTCCCACCAGCCTGCATTTGGCCTCTGAGAAGCTGCTTGCAGAGAGAGGGGAATGGTAAGACAGGATGATTGCAGGTAGACATCCTTGGCTGTCTTACCTTCATGATGTGTGGTGGATTCTGGCATCAGGGACCTGAGGATTTGAGGTCTGGGAGGCCTCAGCTTTCTGACATTCTCTAGACAACTCTTTCCCTGTGGTAGACTGCAAGGATGCGTGATTAGCTACAACTTTAATATGAGCCCCGCGCCAGCCCACCTGGGCTTTAACAACATGTAACTTCTATTTGGTTGTAAAGCTCAGGGAGTCAAAGGTTAAAGAAGCAGTTATTTACACATGAGCGTAACTAAAGAAGCAGGGAATGAGGATGACTATTTCTGGCTTTAACCCCGTAGATGCTGGGTTCAATGTAGGGGAACCGATATCAGGGCTGATATTAACTAAGAGCCAGTGGCAGTGTTCACCCTCAGCTTCATCCCGGTTACTGAGCACCCTAAATGCAGCCTCTCCGAATTGTGCAGAATTAGTATCAGGACCCATAGCCAACTTTTGGAGTTTCCTCTGGGTGTCTGGAGCACTTTGAGATATGAAATATGTATTAAGAACCGCTATACTGCCCTGGGCCTTGGGGTCCCGATTTGTGTGTCCTCTGAGGCAGTCCCACAGCCGCTGAAAATAAGCAGAGGGGTTTTCCTCAGGGCCCTGTTGGACCTTTCTTAATTTAGACCAGTTAATGAGTAGCTGGCATACTATTCTCGTGGCTTTCAAAAGCAGACCCTGAAAATATCCTAGCTTTTCTTGATCATCAGTATTATTGGGATTCCATCCAGGGTCAGTCCCTCCATCCTTTAGTGTGTGCCTTCCAATTGTACAAATCAGAGGTGGAAAAGGGGACGTGCACATTAACAAATCTCCCCTCACCATCCAGGCAACTGTCTTAGGGGATGTATCCCAGGTTTGTAACTGGTTCCTAATCTAGTTGTACTACCTGGAAAAGGAGGATGAAGGGTCTTTGGTTGTTGGAGAGTCCAATTCCCTGTAGAGGTGACAAGAGATTTTCACATATTGAGGTATATGGGGTAACTATTAGAGTTCAAAACTGATTCAGCTTGAACGAAAAAGCCTGATTTATGGCCTATCAAACATACAATGTACATCTGCTTAACCATTAAAGTAAAGAATGTACTCTTTTAAGAATACGTACTTCCCCTCCTAGCCCTATTGGTGATGCCCTATTGGCAACACCCAGATTAGTCCCTTTCTGGACATCATGGTCCTGCTGACCTCCTAATTTGCAACTGAATACCTTTTTGAAAATGTATCCTGGGTGTGTTTAATGTATCTTACTTGTTCTAAAAATATATAAGACTGTACTGAAACCCATGCTTCTCCAGAACGCCTTCTAAGGCCTTCCCAGGTTATAATCTTCACTCTGGCTCATAATAAACTCACCCCAATTTTGATTTACAGGTTGGCTATGGATTATTTGCATTGACAGAGGGATTGCTGGGGGGTGGATAGTAAGATGTTTGGCCCTGCTACAGCCTCTGGCTTGATTTGGAGAAGCAGGTCCTCCTTGTCTGAAAGATAAGTCTTAGATTCAACATTTAAGCTTTCATTTAGACATAATGAATCACTTGATATAAGGAATTTCTTGGTTCTTCTGCAAAACAGATCTAATTGTAGTATGGTATTAACATTTAGGGTCCCATTTCTGGCCATCTTTCCCCATGTTCCTGTGAATATTGCCACCTGGCTGTGTTACATAAAAGGAGCATGTGCTCTCAGGTCAATGGGGAATATCTGAAGGCCTTCCAATTCTGGAGGATGCAGCCCAAAGGACTTTCCTCTGGGGTGGAGCTTGCTGCCCCCATATTCTACCATCTTTTCTTATGGTCTGTTTCCACCTCACAGGGGCAAGTTGTCATGGTGAGTGGTGATGTAGATGCCACAAGGCTGTGCCCAGAGAAGGTTTAGCACCTTAATAGCCTGAAACTTGATCTAGGCCCAGTAACTAAATCCTTAGAGGGAAAATGAAACTGGTGGACGCTGGGTTTCACCCAGGTATCACTGATAGGGAGGGCAAGGAAAGAGACTTAGGAGTCCAGAAAAGCCAGACTGGAAAAACAAGATTGATGTCGAGCATCCTCAACAAAAACAAATGACAAAAAAAAAAAAACAGACTCACCTACTCCAGAGGGGGCTTGACCGCATCTAAGGGGACTCCTCTCTGATCACAGGTACAACACAAAGACAGGCTCAGTGGCTTCAGGGGGAGCCTCAACCCCCGACCTCATCATTCCAGCGGAGATTCATTCTCCAGAGGGGACTGGAACCCTAGACTAGTCAACAGGGATTGCTCCTGTTCACCAGAGTGGCTGGGCTGTGCAATCCAGACGAGACTCGATCTCCAGAGGGGACTGGAACCCTGGACTAGTCAACGAGGATTGCTCCTGTTCACCAGAGTGGCTGGGCTGTGCAATCCAGACGAGACTCCATCTCCAGAGAGGACCTGAACCCCTGACTAGTCAACAGGGATTGCTCCCATTCACCAGAGCCAAGCATTGGCCCTTGCTGAGTGGCCAGGTCGTGCAGTCCTTCCACTCAGAGGGGACTCTCACTCCCCTGGGCCAGGCTACCCCCAGATGGGAGTCAAACCCTGAAGCCAGGCTTCAACAGGTAAACTTTGTGAGACAACGTAAATAGATCTTACAGCCATGCGTTGGGGTTGGCACCACTCACCTCCACTGAGAGATCCACAGAGCAAAGCGCTCAGTGTAGCTGCTGCTGGGTCTCCCGAGGGGGCAGCAACATCAAGCCAGCAGCATGAGCACCGCAAAGAGGCAAGCCCCAAGTCAAGCACCAATTTGTTACTGAAAGCAAAGTGGGTTCCCTCCTGGTGAGTTAAATCAGACTCTCCACCAGAAGTAGTAGTCTCACAAAGTAAGGTATATTTGCGGCAAATAGGAGACCATGAGGAATCATTTCCAGAGTCATAGTGTCCCCAAAGAAAGGGAAGGAGGGACATTTATTTCAGATGGGGAATGAATGTTCAAAAGGGAGAGGTGAGTATCCTCTTGCACAGGCGCAGATGGAAAACATGCTTCCACACACACTGCAGGTGATGGTAATAAGGCCTGAGCCGCTCCTGGAGAGATCTTAGCATTAAAAACAAGGCAAAGGTCATAGGTGTAGCTCTTGTGGCGAGGCCTGTTCTGGTCCCAGGAGGTTTGTGATGGCATCTCCTTAACATAACAAAAGGAAAAAAAATTTGGAAAAAGAGTTAAACGCTTCCAAACCCACTCTTGAGTTCCTCAGGACAGCTAGTCAGCGATAAGGGCAGGTCTATGTCAGTTCAGACAGAGTCTCTGTGAATTCAAGCGAGGACTTTGTGAGGTCAGAGGGCATCTTGTAAGGTCAGGGAAGGACTCTGTGAGGTCAGGGGAGGACTCTGTGAGGTCAGGGGAGGTATCTGTGAGGCCAGGGGCACTCTCCCTGAGTTCATGGGGGGTCTCTATGAGGTAAGTGGGTGTCTCTGTGAGGTAAGGGCAGGTCTCTGTGAGGTCAGATTGGGTCTCTGTGAGGTCAGAGGGGTTGCCTCTGACGTCATGGGAGGTCCATGTGGCCAGGGGAGGTCTCTGTGAGGTCTGATTGGGTCTGTCTGAAGTCAGGGGAGGCCTCTGTGAGGTCAGAGAGGGTACTTGGGAGGTCAGGGGTGGTCTCTGTGAGGACAGATATTGTCTCTGTGTGATCATGGGCAGTCTCTCATTTCAGGGGAGGTCTCCGTGTGGTCATACAGGTCTCTGAGTTCAGGGTCATTTCTGTGGGGTCAGAGTTCTGTAGGGGAGGAAGACATTTCTTCTACCCACTCTGGGTCCTTCTGGCCAGACAACGAATTAAATTCACATGAGACAGAATAACAGGAGAAAATTAAACAAAGCTTTATAACAGTATACATGGGAGAGACCCAGAAAAACTGAGTAACTCGCCAAAATGGCTGAAGCCACCACCTTAAATACTGTCTTCAGTTAAAGACAAAGGAGGATGTTGGGGGTGGGGGGAGTCAGTTATGGGAGATTACCAGAAAAGCACAGTAAACAAGAGTAAGTTTATATGCAGGTTTAAGTCCTTGCCTTCTGCATTGATAAGAGTTTCTAGAGATAATGTCATTCCCCCTTCTTCCTGGTACAGAGAGGGAGACACCTTTACAGATGGGTAAGTAAATTCTACTTTTCAGAGTTTCTTTCATGTCTGCAGTTTTTAAAAGTAACCAGCCCAAAATAATCCTCATGCCAAAGAGGCATATCTTGGTGTGGCCAATTCCAGTCCCCCACAGTTCTCTGTGTCTTCAAGGGAGATTCTGTGAGGTCAGGGAGCTCTCTGAGATCAGGGGAGGTCTCTGAGTTCAAGGGAGGCCTCTGTGAGGTGATGTGAGGTCTCTGAGGTCAGCAGAGGCCTGTGTGTTGTCAGAGGAGTTCTCCGTGAGGTCAGAGGAGGTATCTATGATATAAGGGGAGGTTTCTGTGAGGTCAGGGTAGGTCTCTGTGATGTAAGGGGATGTCTCTCTGAGGTCAGGGAGGTCTCTTGATGTCAGCTGTGGCTTCTGTGAGGTCAGCGAGTACTCTTTGGGGTCAGAGGTGGTCTCTGTGGGGTCATGGGAGGTCTCTGTGTTTCAGAAGGTGTCTTTGTGACGGCAAGGGAGGTATCTGTGACATCAGAGTGGGTATCTTCGAGGCCAGGGGAGGTGTCAATGAGGTGAGAGGGGCTTTGTGTGAGTCAGGGGGAGGTTTCTTTGTGGTCAGAGGGTGTGTCTGTGAAGTCAAGTAAGGTCTCTGTGAGGCCAGGAGAGGTCTCTGTGAAGTCAGGGACATCTCTGTGAGGTCAGAGGGGCTGTCTCTCAGGTAAGGGGAGGTCTGTGAGGAAAGGGAGGTGTCTGTGATGTCAGGCAAGGTCTCTGTGAGAGAGGGAGGTCTATCTGATGTCTGGGGAGGTTTCTGTGAGGTCAGGGAATGTCTCAGATGGCAGAGAGGTCTCTGTGAGATCAGGAGAGACCTCTGTGATTTCAAGGAGGTCTCTGTGAAGTCAGAGGTCTCTGTGAGATTAGATATTGTGACTGTGAGGTCAGAGAGCATTTTGTGATGTCAGGAGAGGTCTCTGTGAAGTCAGACAAGGTTCCGTGCGGTAAGGTCAGCCATCTGTGAGGTCATGGGAGGTCTCTGAGATCAAGGAGATCTCTGAGTTCAGGCAGGCCTCTGTGAGTTCAGGGTAGGTCTATGTGATGTCAGGGGAGGTCTCTCTGAGGTAAAAGTTGGTCTCTATAGGTCAGAGAAGGTCTCTGTGAGGTCAGAAGAGTGTCTTTCTGAGGTCAGGGAGGTCCTTGAGGACAGGGAGGTGTCTGTGATGTCAGGAAAGGTCTCTGTGAGAGAGGGGAGGTCTATCCGAGGTCAGGGGAGGTTTCTGTGAGATCGGGGGGTCTCTGAAATCAGGGAACATCTTGGAGTGCAGGGAGCCCTCTGTGTTTTCAGAGCAAGTCTCTGTAAGGTTGGAGAGATCTCTGTGAGGATAGAGGTGGTCTCTTTGAGGTCACTGGAGGTCTCTGTGAGGTCACATGAGGTCTCTGGGAGGTCAGAGTAGTCTCTGTGACATCACTGGTTGTCTCTGTGACCTTACAGAGGTCTCTTTGATGTCAGGGAGGTGTCTTTGAGATCAGAGAGGTCTCTTTGTGCTCACTAGATGTCTCTGAGTTCAGCGGAGGTCTCTGATGCCACTGAGGTCTCTGAGGTCAGGGAGGTCTCTGTGAGTTCAGGGGAGGTATCCGTGCAGTCAGGGGAGGGCTTTTAGATCAGGGAGTTCCCTTTTAGGTCAGGGGAGGTCTCTCTGAGGTCAATAGCAGTCTATCTGGGGCCAGCCCGGTGGTGCAGCAGTTAAGTTCACACATTCCGCTTCAGCGGCCTGGGGTTCGCTGTTTTGGATTCTGGGTGTAGACATGGCACCGCTTGGCAAGCCATGCTGTGGTAGGCATCCCACATATAAAGTAGAGGATGGGCACAGATGTTAGCTCAGGGCCAGTCTTCCTCAACAAAAGGAGGAGGATTGGCAGCAGATGTTAGCTCAGGGCTAATCTTCCTCAAAAAAATAAAAACATGGTCTATATGAGTTCACAGGAGGTCTCTGTTAGCTCAGAGGGCGTCACTGTGATGTGATGTGAGGTCTTTGTGTGGTCTGAGGGGGTCTCTCTGAGGTCAGGGGAGGTCTCTGAGGACAGAGAGGTCTCTGTGAGGTTTGGATAGGTCTCTCTGAGCTCAGGGGGCATCTCTCAGATTAGGGGAGGTCTCTGTGACGTCAGAAGGTCCCTCTCCCCACCACCGCCAAGAAAATCAACCTCCCTGTGGAGGCAGGGCATGGCTGGTATGGCCCGGATGAAGATGGTGCTACCTCCCATGTCAGACACATGACGTGCCCAGGGGCTCCCTCCCCCTGCAAGGCCAGTGACACCGCCCAGAAAACCTTCAGGACTCAGGGCCCTTTCCTCTGCCTTTGCCCCATTGACAGTCTTGGCCCCAGTGAGTGGGAAAGTTGGCCTCCTTTGGGTAAATCAGGCAAGCCCTGGGGTGGTTCTCTCCCTATGCCCCTCCTCTGTGGACTCAGGGAGTGGGCCAGGAGAGGGCCTCTCTCCGCCCTTTTTGTCAGGTATCTCCTCAGGGGAGCAGAAGGGCGGGGAGGCCGTGAGAAGCAGCTGAAGGAAATGAGAACCCGAGTTTACTGGCAGCTGCACGGGGCCTCTGCCAGAGGGCGCCCCCACACCACCAGGGCCCCCGGACCCAGCGCTAGGGAAGCGAGGCGGTCATGGTGAGGCCAGAGGCTGGCCTTTGCCCCCCCCCCACACCAACCTGCCCCGTGCATGCACAGTGGGAGGGATGAGTCCCAGGCCAGGGAGCAGGGCTCTCACCCCTGTCGCAGTCAGGGAGGCGGGAGGGCGCGGGTGTGCCTGCCCTCCTTTCCTCAGGTCCTTAAGGTTCCAGATACCTGGGTCGTAGGTGCCACAGCCAAATGTCTGGCTGCCCCCACAAGGTTTTCTCCCGCCACCACCCTACAAGGCACAGGGAAGGCCAGACAGGGCAGTGAAAGGCAGTTTCCCAGCATTATCTGTGGCCTCCAACCTGGACCTGGGTGCAGGGGGATAGGATCCGACGGAGAAGGTGGGGCAGGACAAAATCCGTGTGGAAGATCCCTGAGGGCCGCTCCAGGTGACGATGTCAGCCACCACCCATCTCTGGACCCTGAGGCAGCTCCCTCCCCCAGACGTGGCCAGAGGTGGCCCATTCCATGGGGCCACCACCCAGGGATCTCTGACTCTCCCAGGGCAGCCCAGGCAACTGTGGAACAACCCCCTCACCACACACATCCCTGAGGCCAAGGCCAAGACCAAGTCTGGCATCCTCCCTGGAGAGCTCGGGCAGGGCAGGCAAGGACCCAGATGTGGCGGGCAGCAGCTCCCAGGTCGGGCACACCAGAAGTTGGTCATCTTCTTTCTCTGACAGGGCTGATGACCCTTCCCAGAAAACTTTCTGGACCCGGGGCTCTTTCCTTCCTAGTAGTCCCACGGACAACGTCTTGGCCTGAGGGGCTGTGTTGGCTGGCCCTCTTTGGGAAAGTTGGCAAGCTATGGGATTCTCCTCTCCCTCTGCCCCAGAGTTGCATGCGGGTGGGTCCTGCCAGTGCAAGCGCTTACCTGGGGGGGACGCCCCATCCGTTACCTAGGTGGCCAGTCTGCTGTGCCACTCTTCTTTGCAAGGAGCTCCAGGCCTTCTGATAGACTAGGCACAGTCTTCCCTCCTCCTGGGGTAGAAATGTTCAAAGGTGAACAAGGGTCCACCTTTCCTCCGCCTGTTTCTCACCTCCCCTTCTCACCTTCTGCTCAGGTGGCTGCTGGCCTTCTCACAGGGGAGGCCTTCTGGCCCTGTTTTCCAACAATGACTGGGGGAGGACACCCAGGCTGTCTCTCTGCCAGCTGGCTCATTCCAGGCCTCAGTGACTGGTAGAAAAATCACGGCCCCACATCACAAATGAACCCTTTGACTCCAGGAGGAGGAAAGGCCCTGTCTATTCAGAAGTCCCAGAATGCCTTGCTCTGTAGTGTGGCACAGCAGACAGGCCACCTAGGGAGCAAATGGGAAGCCCCTGGTGCAAGCTTTTCCCTCAGCAGGACTCACCCTCAACTCCGGGCCTCAGAAAAGCCTGATTT